CAATTCATATCAACGATATCAAGAGGGCAGTTTATTTTTCTTATATACTAATCTCACCACTTCATTTCCACTTACGAGAAAATTTTTATTATGTTTAAACTTATTTCAAGTGCAATAAAAAAATTTCAAAAAAATAAAATATTTAATATTATTAATAAGGTCAATTTTAGGAAATGTCAGAAATAATTTTTTATGCAAACAGGATTATTAAAAGTGCTCGTTGTGTAGACATTTTTCTATCAAAATATATATTTAATGTAAAATTTTTAAAACGTTAAATGGAACAATTTTAAGCCAGAATAAAGTTTTACATTTAATTTTATGTATTAAAGAAAACATTAAAAATCGTAATATATGAATTGTCAATATGAAAAGTCAAAATTTTACTTTAACACAGCAATTAAAAAATTTTTAATTAAAAGTAATTATAGTAATATTAATAATTTTAAAAAATTCTCTTGAATAAATATAATTGAAAATTGGTTAGAAATAAAAGAATGGAAAAACGTTATACAATAACACATATTTTCAGTTTATTTAATTTTATACAATAAAATTTTACATCCATAACTTTGCAATATAATAGAATCCATCTGAAAGTTTGTTTACATAGGAAATGATGGCACTCTCAATGTCTTTCATCTGTAAAATTTTAAAATCGTATTTATTACAATCGTAAATTTTAAAAGCATTAAGGGGGGCGCCTACTTTAGAATGTAAAAAACTGCGTACATTTCAGAAATTTTTTTCTCAAACACATTTAAATAAATCGATGCGAGATTTAGTGTATGTTTTCTTATATATTTAAATCTTTGAAATATAATTTTTTGATTAAATGAAAATAAAATTTAATAATAAAATAAACGCCATATATGTAACGTCTCGCTGCTGAAATTTTCCCATTGCGTACAACCTAGGGTCCACAATTCTTATCCAAAACAAAAAAACAAAATTTTTTCTTTAAATATACATTATTGCCTTCTGTATGAATTAAAAGATTTCAATAGAAAGTAAAAACTGACATTTTTACATGACTTTTAAAAAAAAAATTTAATTTTCGCCAAAAAAATCTCATTTTTTCTTTAAAAAAAAGCACTAAATTTAACTCTATCAAAAACAAATTTAATTCATACAGAAGAGACACGTTTTATCTTCAAAACAAGCCCAGGTAGACCTTAATCGGTTGAATAGATTTTTGTCTATCGTGTACGCAAACTACAAAAACAGTGTTTTGAGAAAAACGAGTTTAAAGATTGAAAAACATATAAGTGCTGTTTTTTAAAAACTTACGGCAGTCACAGGCCTCGATGAACGACTATTTTTTTATGGGTAGCTCTTAGATAAGACGACATTTTACTGATAAATGGTAATTTTAATGGTAGATGTAATAGTAGATAAGCGCAACAAATTATGAAAAGTATTAGAGACCGCGAGTAGATTCGCGCGCCAGGCCACGCGCTTTATTGCGTTCTACAAGCTGTAACTCGAAAAATACTTTGTATTTTGACATAATATTTTAAGAGCATATTCTCTGATAGTTGTTCTTTCAGTTAAGACAACTTTTAAAAAATCGATTTTTTTGACCCGATAAAGTAGGCGCCCCCCTTAAGATGCTCGTTGTAATAACAATCATTTAATAATTTTGTAACTAAATAAAAGTTGTTTTCCTCTTGCGTAAAAATTAAGTGAACAAGATGGAATTTTGGGCCGATTTCAGAAAATGTTCCATAGAGGTCCTACTAAGTGCATTGCTCTTGGATAGTGAACAAGTAGATGATGCTTAGGTTTCATGCTGTTTGGGAACTTTTCGGTAAGAAGCCTTAAATACTCTTCAATTCGTATTTTTAGTATTTTAGGTGTCTCAATAGTAATTGCTGTGCTGCAAAGAATATTTAGTATTTCTTGCAAGCGTAACACAAGTTGCCAAACTTCATCATTTTCAGAAATTGTGGGTCCGATCAATAAATTTAAATTCCTCACTAAATTAAGCATTTCTGCACTCAAAAGTATGACACAATTATTTTTTAAATGTGATTCCAAGATTTCCGGAGGTTTATTTACATTTGGACTAGCACCGTAATAAAGTGATTGTAATTTTCGATTAAAATATTCTAAAGTAAAGTTTTCCTTTTTTATAAAATAATTTAATATTAACGCGACATCGTATCTGCAAACGCCCTCCAGAAAGTCGTGCATTATATCCAAAGCCATATTTTCTATGATATGGAAGCTTAGAATTTTATTAAAAAAACACTCTTCCTTTATGCCAGTTAAGGACGGCGCCAACACTCGAATCGCTGCCTCGTAATTTGTTCGATTTCTCAATTCGCAATCCTCTTCTTTGAATACGTTGTTTAAATCTTTGGCATTCACTAAGCAGAAACGGCAAAATTTTGTTTTATTAAAGCTCTCTATGAAACCGCAGATGGAATTGAGGCCAAGGTTATCTCCAGTGATTAAAATTAAATTAAAGTACAAACTTTGTGATCCAGTAGGTAAATCTAAAGTTATTCCTTCTTCTGCTAGAAATTTTAATTCCGTTACTACTTTTTGAAAAATTACTGGATTTCGAAAAACACTGCGATCTAAGGTGTTAAATAAAATAAATAAAAACAAATTTTCAAATTTGGACTGATATTCTGGAGGTAAACTTGGCAATATCGCGTATACAGCTCCACATTTTGCAATTCCTTTATGAGTGCCCAGAGGATTGTTCGTCTCATAATCGTCGAAATAGAGGATCAGAGGCAGTCGTTGTGATGATCCAGAGTCATCTTCATATTTTCCGCATTTCTCTTTCCAAATTTCAGCTTAAATTATATTCGAGATTATTCCATCCGAAGTTTTTAGTGAATCCATATGTTGAACAGTTTTTTCGAAAATCCCTGGTAATTCAAAAAATGTTTTTAAAACTTGCCGTAAAGGAACAAATTGTGCAACGACAGTAATATTTTTGTAAAATGACCTGGTAGGTCCAGAGTTGTATTCAACTCGTTCGCCAATTTTATACGACTCTGGTAAAATGAATGTGCCGTTTTTTTGAAATTGAGCGAATCGTTGTTTTTCGGTTTCTAAATTCTTGAAAGGCTTCGCAAAATTTTCAAAAACTTCGTCGATTTCGGATAAGTAATTATCAGTGGCTCCAAGTTTTTTAAATCTATTACATAATTTGTCTTTAACTGAGTTCAGGGAAGAATCAATCATTTCTGTGGCATCACTTATAATATCATTGACACGTGCTCTTGGAATATCATTAAAATCATATAATTTTCCTGAAAAATGTAGTGCAGTGTCATGAACAATTTTTGCCGTGCTATCTTTTGTTGTATCAATCAACTTGATATATTCGTTAATCCAATGTATATCAGTCTCACCATCAGATTCGCTGTCACTTGAGTTTTCGAAATAATTGACATCAACAGAAGAGCCCATTGCTTTAAGATCATTTTCTATCTGAGAATTAGATTCTTGAATGCCCGCATTCAAAGATAAAGGAGTCTCGGGAATATTTGTTTCACAATATTTATATTTATGCTTATCATGTACATGTCTTACAAATGTTTCTAACGATGAAAATATTTTATCACAGTTTGAAATAGAGCATCGATAACTTAATAACATATAGTGCGTTGACCTTACGTGCAGTGCGTACGTAGACGCATCTTCGAAGCACTCACCGCATTCACAACAAGAAATCATTGTATGATATTTTAGAGGGAAAAATTATAAAGCTTAGGGATCGGTAAGATGGGCTTGTAGAAACGATTGTTTAATTAAGCCGAGTAGTTCCTTTACCGACTTAACAACGGTTTCACCGCTAACATCAATTTAGTATGCCGCCAGCTGTATAAATTGCCATAATTTCGCGGAAGCTGTCGGATATGCGCAATCTAGAGCAAACAAAATTTTGAAGGTTGCATCTAATGCTCGTAAACATGTATCAACTTTATATTTTTGGTCATTCACGATAACAAAATATTCTTCCGGCTGAATGAGTGGTCCGACAATCGCCATAAAAGGCTGCAATGTGCTGTGCCTCTTTAGCAGTATCGCCTTCAATTTCGCAATTTCTTGATCCAAATCTTCGCTTTTCTGAATAAAAAAAAATTTATTTTTTAAAAAATTATTTACTTAAATAATATTGCAGTAAATAATTACAACTATACCTCTACTCGAAGCAAGAAAGTGTCTCTACTTTCTGCGGGGGTGATTAGAGGTTCACCCTTTTTCCGTTTCACGGTGCGATCAATTCCAATAAGCAAATACAATAAGTATAAAATTACACCGTCCTGATTTTCTAAAATGTGAAAAATAATTAAATTAAAATAAAATATAAATAATTAAATAAAGTTAAACTAGAAGTAATCTGTAATAAAATCAGATAATATAATTTATATTACTTTACCAGATCTCAAAGTTGGTAGTAGGCGAATAAAAGTCGCGACATCAATGTCCTTCCTTTTATTTCTATCAAGAGTTTGCAGTTGGGATAATAAAACGTCCCTTATTGTTGGCCAACGAGTAGTTAAAAAATCTTTTTTATCCGGGTATAAAATTTCAAAGTCGATATCATACTGAAAAGGAAGCAGGAAGTGAATATTTTAAAATATTTTATTTTGGAGCTCAATATAAATTTCTTAGAATGAATATTTATCACTTTTTTAATTTTTAACAATTTATTTAAGTTAATATTGTATAAACTTACCAATTCGAGAGCACCTGAAACTCTTAAACACGGGAATTTACTAATGTACTCGCCAATCAAAACTTTTCCCGTGGAAATGAGAATTTTCCTAGCATTGTATGTGATTCTCCAATCAGAAAGTACAACATCTTTTTCTAAGGATGATTCGAGTCTTAACAGAGCTTCCCGTATTTCTTCATCTAAAAATGAAAAGATTTTTCTAAAAGTTTCTAAAATCTAAACTTAGCAAAAAAATAAAATATTGAGAAGAGACTCATAACGTTTCAAAATCCTATCATTTTTATTCAAATGTTTACTAAAAACTATCTGACTTACCATTAAAAGATGAATTTATAATTTGCGATAATTCAACTTCAGATTGTTTAGAAATGACTGGAGGTGACAGAAGATTGTTTTTTCTCATGCAATCTTTTGTATAAGAGTAATTTGACCAAAGACTTCCTGAGACGGCAATTTTCTTCCCATTTTCGCACTTGTACGGAGAATAGTAAATACTGGCCTCTTCTCCTGGAAATATTTTCGCAATCGCGTTGGCCAAAGAAGTAAAAGTTTTAGATGAAATGCTAAAAAAACGATTATTTTATAGTTTACTCCACTTACAGTTGGCTTAAAAATATAACGTATTAAATTAATTTTATTAATAGGCTAACTTACTGAAACTTTTCCAGTTGGATTCCTAATGGAACATGTTTCAGTGCATCATCTTTCAACTGTTTAATTATCAATCTCGTCAAGAGACTACGAGTTTGTCTATTTAAACATTTGTGTACAGCGAACTGAGAAAGAATCACTTTTCCATCTCCAGAAGCTCGTAAAAACATTAGTAAATGCTGCAACAGTCACGAAATAATATTATTAGCCATATATATGTACAATGAGAATAAAATGTTTTTAAAATTAATTTCAAGTAGAAAAAAAGTTGATTAAATTTGACGCAATTTTTTATACTTACATTTTCAATTGAATTGTTATCTTCCTGACTTTGTTCATTTACTGTTTCTAATTCATGTGAAACTTCACTTAACCGACGTTTTTTTATGTTCACATCAGTTTCTTCCTAAAAAATATATACCATAATAATAAAAATTTTTATTTAGTAGACTTCTTTATTGTCATTAAAATGTAACTTTTTCTGTAAGTTGTTTTCATTTTATATGTATATATTATTTTGCTAAATAAATTATAAATTAAAGACGTATAAACAAATATCATTTTTATTTAATTTGTAGCAAATATTTTCTATCATAATTTTATATAAGTACTATTTTGCTTTCGCGTAAAAAATTATATTTTACAGGAATATAGGGATCATTCAAGAAAGATTTTTTATAAACGTTCAGAAGTTGAGAAATATATTTACGCTAGCTTTACAATATTTTGTCAAATTATTACTTTTAATTTAAAATATTTTAAAAATTTATGCTGTCAAATTATTATTATTACTTTTTAAATTAATAATCACAAATAAGAAAATAACAATGAATTTGAAACATTATACATATACGCGCTGTGGGACAAATCTTACCTCCGATAATTGTAATTGTGACGAATCTGAATCGTTCATTTCGCTTTTGAATTTTAATTCTAATCAATAGGTAAATGTAATCGGGAAATTTTGAAAAACTATACGAAACTCTCCAACTTATACCGATGAATATCACCTACAGTCAAATATAACCTCAAATATTTTTTCATGCTTTATTGGAAACAATTTTTCAAATATTTTCTCAAGTTTGATTTTGAAGAATGTCTCAAACAAAATAGGATAATTAAACTCATTACTTACAAAAATTTTTTTTTCTTCTGTTTTTTTGGCAGCACAAAACTGGCAAAAACACTAAAAAAGTTAAAACCACGTGAATCGCAGTGCGCTCGTATGCCGGAACTATTCAACTGCTGACGCTACACGGACAAGCTTCGCTTGTTTGTATGCGTGCTGTTTTCATCGTGAGACTACTAAATTGTAAACACGACGCAACGAAAATGTCGTTCTTACAAATATAAAGAATATACTTTTGACATTCATTTTTTCTTAATCTTAATTTTTCTTTCAGAGTTAACGAATATTTCTTAGCGTGACTACTAAATTTTGATAAAAAAGAAAACATTTTTTGTTGAAAACATTTATATAAAATGATAGTTTTCCATTTTTTCCGAGTTTGGTCGCGAATTTACTAAAATCTCTTGGCAAGTTTGACAGAAAGTGATGCACAAAGTCTTTCCGTGTATTGTTAGTGAAAATTTTGATCCCATGACATATCCTACAATGTTTCCTTATCGTGATCCTGGATGGACTGTTAACCTTAAGCATACTCAAGGTACTTGTAATTTTATTCATTTACAATTTTATATGTATCGTCTTTCATAGAGAAGAAAAAAGCGGGGATTGCCACATGTGCGTTTAATTATATTTTTACGTGCACAAATCTGCGATTCAGAAAATTTAAATAAAATGATATGTGCTGAAATCACAGACGAAATAAAGAATCCAGAACTTTTTAACATTGTAAAGCGATTTTAAGTTCATGGGCCTTGTGGTAAACAAAATAGGAATTCACCCTGCATGGATCCTGAGATAGGTCAATTAAATATATTGCTAACAATTCGATGATCGCAGCATATAATCTTTATTTGAGTACAAAATTTAAAGGTCATATTGAATGTGCAATAATATGTATTATATTATTATGAAACCATAATGTTGAAATAGTAATACAGTAACGATTTCAAAAATAACATTATAATTTTGTGAGATCAAAATTCCAATAACTTTTCGTCAAATAAAAATAAATTTTTAATTTTTCATAAAAAATTATAGATACAACGCGCGTTTCTTTAAGCTAGTAGAAGAAATAATATCTGAACAAAAATTGTTGAAAAAGAATATGAACAACGAAAATTCTTGGGCTAGTGACGTCACGAAGACGACAAAACAAACATTTTAATATAATAGAAGATACTTGAGAATTTTTGAAATAACGATAACTTTTTTAAAAAAACAATATTTTTTGATGGGATTTGAAATTGAGATGCATTTTACATGTGAATTACTGAAAAATAACAAATAGTTGCAATATTTGCAAAAATTTGCAAAAAAACAAATTAGATTTTTTTCTAATTCATATGTTTAATTTATGTTTAAATTTTAATTTTGAATAATATCTGTACAAAAATTGTTGAAAAAGAATATGAAAAACGAAAATTCTTGGCCCAGTGACGTCACGAAGACGACAAAACAAACATTTTAATATAATAGAAGAAATAATATCTGTACAAAAATTGTTGAAAAAGAATATGAACAACGAAAATTCTTGGGCTAGTGACGTCACGAAGACGACAAAACAAACATTTTAATATAATAGAAGATACTTGAAAATTTTTGAAATAACGATAACTTTTTAAAAAAACAATATTCTTTGATGGGATTTGAAATTGAGATGCATTTTACATGTAAATTACGGAAAAATAACAAAAAGTTGCAATATTTGCAAAAAAATATTTTTTGCAAAAAGTTACAAAAAAAATTAGATTTTTTTCTAATTCATATGTTTCATTTATGGTTAAATTTTAATTTTGAATAATATCTGTACAAAAATTGTTGAAAAAGAATATGAAAAACGAAAAAACTTTGGCCCAGTGACGTCACGAAGACGACAAAACAAACATTTTAATATAATAGAAGAAATAATATCTGTACAAAAATTGTTGAAAAAGAATATGAACAACGAAAATTCTTGGGCTAGTGACGTCACGAAGACGACAAAACAAACATTTTAATATAATAAAAGATATTTCAAAATTTTTGAAATAACGATAACTTTTTAAAAAAACAATATTCTTTGATGGGATTTGAAATTTAGATGCATTTTACATGTGAATTACGGAAAAATAACAAAACGTTGCAATATTTGCAAAAAAATATTTTTTGCTAAAAGTTACAAAAAAAAATTAGATTTTTTTCTAATTCATATGTTTAATTTATGGTTAAATTTTAATTTTGAATAATATCTGTACAAAAATTGTTGAAAAAGAATATGAACAAGGAGGGGGTCCTTTATGTTTATTTCATAAACATTATGCTTCCTCATTGTGTGAAGCAAAAAATTCGCTTCCTCGTGAAGGAAGCAATGAATTTGTCCAATTCAATTGATTGATTTAAAAAATTTCGAGTTAAAAATGTTTTAAATTAATTAAATTTTTTGAAAAATAAAGAAAATTTTAATTAATTTTGAGTGAACATAAACTATATATATACGAATCGATTCGTTTTAATGCAAGGAATACAATTATTTTATTCATCAACTTGAATTTAAAAAAAACACAAAATTTTTTAGCTAAAATATGAATTTTCGATTTTTCAATTTTTATTAATTCTCAAATTTTAAATCAAATCTATACTTTATATATACCAACCAATTCGTTTCAATGCAGGGAATAAAATTATTTCATATATAAACATGAATTTAAATAAACACATCATTTTTTAGCTAAAATGAGAATTTTTGATTTTTTAACTTTCTTTAATTCTTTAAATTTCAATCAAATCTATACTTTATATATATCAATCGATTCATCTTGACATAAAGAAGACGATTATATTATATATTACCTTAAATTTTTCGATTTAAAAAATTTTTCAATTAAAAAAAAATTTTTGGAAAAAAGACGATAAAATTTTTTTTTTGGGGTATTTTTAAAAATCCTCTCGTCATTTTTGAGAGATTAATGTGTTAAATAAGCCTACCAAATTTTATCCAAATCCATTAAAACCTGTTAAAGATATCGTGTTCACAAAAACGATCCACACACACATACACACACACACATACACACACACATACATACATCCGGACAATTGATCAGGATCTCATATAACATGTTTCTATATAGAGGAAAATTTGTTTTCACCATTTTTAAAAAGTTTATAAACGAAAGGACTACATAGCTTCCTCCACGAGGAAGCAAAAACGAAAAAACTTTGGCCCAGTGACGTCACGAAGACGACAAAACAAACATTTTAATATAATAGAAGATTAGTATACTTACAGAGAAAATGAAACAGTTTTAATTGAAAATTTTATAAATTTTTGATTCTTAATAATTTTTATTGCAAAATTAATGGTTTATTTAAAAAATAAACAATGTTCTCGTTGTCATAGAATGTTGATCCAATCTTTATTGGAAAGGGAATTTCATAAGGATTCGAAAACCGTTTTAACCCGTTGCCTGTCGCTGACGCATATATGCGTAAAACTAAAACTGGCCAAAAGTGCTCTTTACGCATATATGCGCAACTTAAAAAAAGTGATGAAAAACATCTCAAATATTTCTGAAACTGGTTACTCGGGGGTTTTTGGGGTCGCTGATTTCGAATCTGAGGTCGGTTTTTCAAAATTCAAAATGGCGGATCCAATATGGCGGACGACAATTTGAAAATATGATACAATTCCCTTGAAAATGGTTACTCAGGGGTTTTCGGAGTCGCTGATTACGAATCTGATATCAGTTTTTTAAAATTCAAGATGGCGGATTCATTATGGCGGAAAATTTTTCAAAATTGATCGGATTCGACTGAAGCTCGTTACTCAGGGGTTTTCGGGGTCGCTGATTCCGAATATGACATCAGATTTTCAAAATTCAAAATGTCGGATCCAATATGGCGGACGGCTATCTGAAAATCTAATGCAATTCGCTCGAAACTCGTTACTCGGGGTTTCGGGGTCGCTGATTACGAATGAGACATCAGTTTTTAAAATTCAAAATGACGGAACCATTATATTATAACCATTATATTTTCAAATTGTCGTCCGCCATATTGGATCCGATATTTTGAATTTTAAAAAACTAACATGGGATTCGTAATCAGCGACCCCAAAAACCCCCAAGTACCCATTTTCAAGCGAATTGCATTATATTTTCAAATTGTCGTCCGCCATATTGGATCCGCCATTTTGAATTTTGAAAAACAGACCTTAGGTTCGTAATCAGCGACCCTGAAAAACTTAAGATACCAAGTTTCATAAAAATTCATTAAAATTTTTTTCAACACACTTTTGGCCCAAATAGTGGAAATCTCGTCGACAGTCAAGGGGTTAAAATTTCGTGAATCGCAGTTAGCAAAAAAGTTATCGCGTTTTTTGTGCAGCGTTGCGTGTCTCTAGCGCTAGCAAGCAGAATGTATTTTGCTCAAAAAGTATGGAAACCTGCAAATATCTCGCAAAATACGAATTTTTATAAAAATTGTTCAATAAAAAGTTGTTCCTAACAAAAAGATCAACATTTGTGAACTCAAAACATTGGTTGTTTTTGTTTAATAAAATCCTCTAATTTTCCGAATCGAATTCGTAATCCCTATGAAATTATGTGTTTTAACGTGTGAAGTATATGACCAAAATATTGGACTAAGGAATCTTACATTGGGTTCTAGGTCTAATTCAAAAATTAGCTTCGAATTTCTAATATGCTACCCCAAAAACCCCATAAGCCGCGATTAATAAAAATACTTTTAAGTGAATATTCGGATAAATAGAAATTTGACAAAAGAACAATTTTGATAAATAAAAA